GGTTAGATTAGACGTCATGAAACGTCAAATGCTGATTGGCTAGGTCTACCGTGCGAATAAGACTCATAAGAGCTTATTCGCACGGTATACCGTGCGAATAACCACTTTCTATTTAATTAGCTAGCCTAGGCCTAGCCTAGCCCTTCGTCGTTCAATTCAAAAAGGTAAGCGCTAGGCTAGACGAATACATACTGAACAACTTTTGTTGGGTCTCCATATTCATCATATATAAGAGCATGAATGCTTGAAGAAAATCTCTTTTTCAAACTTAATGTTCTGTGAAAAAAAGCTCTGCGGGAGCTACAAATGTTCCTAATTATGGGCGCTGACATCTTTAAAATGTGTTTGTTGTATATTTTATTCTCCAGTTGTGGGCGACACTGTACGGCGCGCCGTTAGTGTCCCAATGCGAATACTTGTTTGATACTTGTTTAATGTTTTTCGGTGTCGGTTGGTAAGCTTAATAGCTTATATGACCCATTCAAAACTTCTTGCAGGATTCATCAACAATAGACGTTTGGGGTTTCAGTGAATGAAAGTGCTTTAGCCCATAATATTTAAATGAAAATAATGTTGGCTATGTTAGAAATAATTTATGATGACTCGCGAAAAGGCCGCCTTCGGTGGATGGGGGGAGTGGCCTTTCGCGAGGCTGTTAGGTAGTTGGAGATTATTTGCAGGATGAATGAACTAGGTTTTAATGAAATAAGAAATGAAATAAGTTTGAATTTAGGCTCTGGAAGAAAAAAAATTGATATGTTGCGTGGAACTGATTTTTCTAAGATCACCCATTTTTACACCTTTCCCCTAGTTTTTAAATATTTTTTTTCTGTTTTAGAAAAATCAGTTTTACAATATATCAACAATTTTTTTCCTCCGGAGTCTGACTATAAATGACTTGGGGAACCGTCTTTTGTCCTGTCACCCTCCCATCGTTTGAGCGATTTAAAAGCCAACAATATTTTAGCCTGCACATTATTCTTATGAATGACTCCCACCATCCCAAAGAAGAAAAAAGGTGCTGACTATTTACAAAGTTTTTGGCAGCTAAAAGTACCCTTCTGTACTGGATCCACAGATGACCGAAAAGGGGGAGGGGGAGGGACCAAAAGTGGGACCGATCGAGATAACACCACATCTTGTGGTGAAAGTGAAGCTCTTTCAGAAGTTTGAATATAAGCAAACCCGGGGTCATAAACATAAATTAAGTAAACCTCGTTTTAGGCTTAATATTAGAAAAAACTCGTATGCAGTTAGAGTAATTGATGATTGGAATGCCCTGCCCAGTTGGGTGGTTGATTCTACTACTGTCCATCAGTTTAAATCGGGTATTTCAAAATATTGGTCTGACCACCAATTTAAGTTTCGCCCGTACGTAACTGAAGAGTTTGTACGAATGACGATGGAGGGACAAATGAGCTAAGTTCTCAAGTCCTATGGTTCAAGGTAAATTCAAGGTAAATCTTTTGTTGTCTAGACGCCCGAAAATAACTTCTGAGACGTTTTGGGCAAATATGTTTTTCTTCTCCCCACCCCACCCCCCACAATCCGCCACTGCTCTAACATGTTAAGGGTGGTTGGAGGACAGGACGTCGACGACCACCACCAACACGACTTCACTGCAATTGTTGAATAAAACATTTTGTCATCTGCGAAGAGGCGAGCAGATGAGTTTAACTTGAAATGGATGTATCATTAATAAAATATAGGAATCAACAAGGCCCAATTACAGACCATTGAGGTATTCCAGAGATTACTGGTACATTGCTTGATGTAGATCCATTCAGAACAAAACATTGGTGGCGATTTCTAAGAAACTTTGTAATCCATGCATTTACTTTTCCATTGATGCGATACCATTCAAGCTTTTTAACTAGATATCTATCAACAAACTCGATCAACTGCGTATCGCAGCTTCGCCTGCTCCTAAATCCATGTTGTTGGAGATAGAGGAGTTGATGGTGCTCAGCATGGGCCATGATGTAGCTCAGTGATAATGTGCTCCATTACCTTGGATACTAGGCAAGTGAGACTAAATTGGAGGTAATTTCTTTTTTTATGTTTTTCGCCTTTCTTGAAAATTGGGACCACGTCTGCACCCTTCCATTCATGGGGTACACATCCAGATTGCGACCGAAATGATCGGATACCGTACTGGTAAACGACGATCTGGTACTAGGCCTAGATCTAGTACCGGAACTTGACGTTCGAGAATAACGGATCCGGTACCTAACGGACCTTTGACACCTGGAAATAACGTATCCGGTACCGGAGCTTAACGTCCCGTATACCGGATCTTTAAGCAAAAAGACGGATCCGGTGTTGGAAATGGACGCCCGACAACAACGAATCAGGTACCGGATCTTAAAGACATGAAAATAACGAATCCGGTACCGGGCCTCCAGCCACAACGATATTTATGCTCATCAAATTTCAAATTACTATGAAAATGCACGCCAAGATCTTTTTTTAATAAAGTTATAATTATCTTGTGGAAAGTAGGCTAATCACATTTCGCGTCCCTTCTTCCAAGATACAGAATCTTACATTCTCCAGATTAAAAGGTAATTGTATGGTATTTTTTGTAATTTTATTTTCTCGTGTTAGTCCACGGACCTCCTGAAGGCTATGGCCCGATTCCCAGGTACATGCTTAAGGCACAAACGGCGTTCCATAACCATAAGCTTTCGCGCGAAACTTTAACCTCTGAGGCAAAACAAACCGAGCTAAAAAGTGTGAGAACGAGGATACAGATATTGTATAAAAAGCGATTTAAAATTTATAAATATGAATTTTGGGAATAGAACTAAGAGACAGAAGAGGATAAAGGTTGAAAATAGTGATCCATCGGAAAGAAAGTATGCTCATACCATTCAGTTTTATCGTGAACCTCCGACCGATAACATCTCTCTTCAAGAATTTGAGGACCTTGCTATTCAGCGTCTAAAGGGTGAGTTTCAGGGAAGGGAGGGCTAATCAGGCCTAGGCCTAGCATGAAGCTAGCCCAGGCTTAGGACGCCCAAGGACTCCCTAGGACTATTCCAGAGCTTGTTAGTTAAGGGCCTATCCCAGCCTATTTCTAGCGGTTTCTTAGGCGAGAACATCAGACAGTGGCGTAGGCCTAGCATAGGCCTACAGACTAGAATAGAAGAGGCCTAAGGCTTAAGGCCCAGCCTAGGCCTAGCCCTTAGCGGTGTAGGACCGGTTCGGCCGTACACTTGTTCGGCCGTATGATATTCATTGCCCAAATAAGGGTTATTGTATGGAACGCCGTGTAGTGTATAATCAAAGCGTGAATTGGATGTCACTGTACTGTACAGTGCAATGTTGACCGCGGGTTAGGTGGTGGTGCAGGGGAACCTTATAATAAAAATAACGATTACTAATAAAAATGTGTTATTTGTTTTTACTTCTACT